TATTTTACTGGTAGAAAGTGTACAGTCTCTAATGGAATTCAAGGCATTTAAACAAGATAACCCTTTAAATTTAATAAATGTAATATAATGAAGCCAGTGAAAGCTAGAAATTGCAAGACTGTCTTTTTTTTTTTTCGTTATCTCAGGCTTTGGATATTTGACAGTGTATGGTCTTCATTACTTTGTGCCGCTCATTTTAGTGAAAGGTACTTTTGAGTTTTCCTTCTCTGACAGTTTTTCTGCCTTCCAACTTTGAATTGTCTCTTGGGAACGCAGGATCTAGAAACTGGACAGAGAAGAAATGGAAATATTTTACACCAGTAGAGAGGTCTTATAGCTATTATCTGTGGGAAGTTTTGCTGCTAACAAAAAGGCCATATCTCTTTGATAACTTGAGTCATGAAAGATGAGCATGTGGTGGGAGAAAAAGGAATTTCCTTAGGTGTTATTTACAGGTTGCCACCCCAATAGAAAGACATTTCCCAATCATAGGAGCAACCAATAGATTCAGTGTAACCACCTTCCCCCACCCCCATCCTTGGTATGTGTTTTGACCCATCTCTTTTCCCATTCCTCCATCATTCCCTTTAACTCCCTCCTACCCCATTCAACACCCCTTTTTCCCTATCCATCCTTTGTTATGATGGCTTAGACTTCAAGTCTTCTATACTTCTGTGATTCCAAATGCTTTGCACTGCTACTAGTCTCTCAGTGCTGTGGCCAGTGTCTCTTGAGTTCAGGATATTGACATATTTCAACAAACTGGCGCTGCCCTGGATACACTCAACAAGTTGTGCTAAGAAATCTAGAGAACATCACTTGGCCAAGTGATGGGAAGAGATCTATATTTGTTCCCATTCCAAAGAAAGATGACCCAACAGAGTGCGGAAATTACTGAACAATATCATTAATAACACATACAAGCAAAATCCTGCTGAAAATCATCCAAAAATAACAGCAGCACATCAGCATAGAAGTGCCAGATGTGCAGGCTGGGTTTAAAAGAGGCCATGGTATTAGGGATATCAGCCAATGTCAGATGGATTCTGGCTGAAAATAGTATAGAAAAGAAATGTCTATTTGTGTTTCATTGATTATACAAAGGCATTTGACTGTGTAGATCACAATAAACTGTGGCAGACTCTGAGAAGAATGTCTCAGAACACTTGATTGTGCTAATGCAAAACCTATACTTGGACCAGGAGGCAGTTGTCAGAAAGGAGCAAGGCAGCACCGCATGGTTCAAAATCAGGAAGGATGTATACCATGGCTGTGTCCTATCTCCATACCTTTTCAGTCTGAATGTAGAACAGATTATATGGGAGGCTGGGCTCTAGGAGGAGAAATGTGGCATCAAGATTGGAGGAAGACTCATCAACAACTTGTATTATGCAGATAACACAACCTTGCTTGCTGAAACTGAGGAAGACTTGAAACGCTTGCTGCAGAAGGTCAAGGACTCTAGCCTTCAGTATGAATTGAAGCTCAGCATCAAGAAAAAAAGATTCTCACCACTGGGCCAATTATCAGCATCATGATAGATAGTGAAGAGATTAAGATTGTTAACAGCTTTTAATTTGTTTGCCTTCACAGTCAACACTTGGTAAGAGCAGCCGGGAAGTTAAAAGACTAATTGCATTGGGGAAGTGTGCTTTCAGAGACCTCTCCAAAGTACTGAAGAGCAATGATGTCAGTCTGGAGACTCAGGTGCACCTGATCAAGACCATGGTCTTTGTAATACCGTACTATGCATCAGAAAGCTGGATAATGACTCGGGATGATAAAAGGAGAATTGATGCCTTTGAGCTGTGGTGCTGGAGAAAAAAAAATATTCAATATACCATGGAATACTAGAGGAACAAACAGGTTTACCCTAGAGAAGGTGAAAGCAGGCTACTCCTTGGTAGCAAGGATTCTGATGCTTCGTTTGACATACTTTGGGCATGTTGCAAAGAGTCATTGGAGAAGGACATCATGGTTGGGAGGGTTGGGGGACAGTGCAATAATGGAAGACTCTTGATGAGATGGAGTGACTCAGTGACTGGGGTATTGTGGGTAGGTTTGTCAAAGACAGTAAGTTTGGCTCAGGATAGAGCAGAATTCAGAGCTGTTGTACATAGGGTTGCTATGAGTCATAAGCAACCGGACGGTACATAACAACAACCCCAATAGATGTATAAGATTCTATCATTCTATGTCCATCTATGTCCGTCATTTTTGTCATCAACTCCGTATTTTCCAATACTGGTTCTTTTTCCTTAGTCCCAATTTCAGCATTTCAGTCACCAACTGTTATTAATGAATATTGGTTACATGTTTGATCAATTTCAGACTGCAAAAGTTGTTAGAAATCTTCCATTTTTTTTTCTATTTGGCTTTAGTTCTTGGTGCCTATATTTGAATGTGATAGTTACATTAACAAGTCTTCTTTGTATGTGTATGGGTAGTACTTCAGGATGTATCTGGAAAGAGTCTCTTTTACTGAGAATGCAGCTCCATTTTTCCTCACCTTTTCATTTCTATCACAGTAGATCATATGGTTTTCTGATTGATAGTGGCCTAAGCCAGTCCATCTTAGGTAGCCAGTGGCTATGTCTACTTTGCATTACATTTATTTTTTAACAGTGAGTATTTTCACTACCATCATGCTTTGTATGTTTCACATTCCAGTTATTAGTAACCATTTCCAGCTGTTCTTTGTTTTTGTGTTTCCCAATATGAATGCTCAGCCTCCAGTGCAATATCTAATAGGCTAAGTGTGCTCTATTTTTCATAGGTTTTTCAAAGGCCTACTAATTCTAAAGTGTATGGCCAGTCCTTCTTCCTAATCTGTCTTAATTTGGGAGCTCCAATTTAATATAGTGTCTGACGGAGAAGCTCTTTACCTCAAAAAGTAAATCATAGTCAAGTAATCATAGATACATTTAAGCATCAGCATGCAAAGACACTTCTCCAATAAGAAAACTGACCGATAAATTTGAAAATTCATCGTTGTTCTTCCTCAGGTCACCTATGAGTTGGTTTCGACTTATCAGCCATGAATTTGAGTTTTGAATAGATAGCTATAGAAAATAGGTGAAATTGCATCCTGTAAATACTGGAAATCCTGCAAGATTAATAGAAATAAGGCTGTCCCAGCACTCACAAGTTTCATTGTATGTGAAAATTCCAGTATACTGTCATATTATACTTGCTTTACAACTGCATGAAGTTGCATCCTACTGTAACTGGTAAATTCATACAAAGTCAGAGCAATTAAAGACAATGTTGTAATTGATGTTAGATGCTGTCAAGTTGAATATAACTTATAGCCACCCTCTGAACAACAGACTTGAACCCTTGCCTATCCTGTACCCTAATATCTTCTCTGACACACTTGATTATCCACAGCCATTTGCCCACATGTCTTAGCATTCATTACTAAACAAAATTGACCTGCCTCAAGAGGACCTAATACTCTCATAGATGGTAAGGAAGGAAAGTAATATTCAAATAGCGATGACTTGGATAGCTTCCATTTGTATAATTTTGAGATCTAATTTGAGAGTATTGGAATTTGAAATGCTTTGTTTTATTATTTGAGTGGAAAAAGTTCTTTTTATAAAGCTCTTGTTAGTTGCCATCACATTTATTGCTCATAGAAACCTTATGCAGAACAGAGCCATACACTGCCTAGTTGGAACCATCTTCATCATTGTTAAATTTTGAGTCTAACGGTCACTTTTATCTGTCTCATAAAGGCTTTCTTATTTTCTGCTTACCCTATACTGGCGGCCAGTTTAGGGAGTTGCACTGCTACCCTAAGGGTGGCCAGTTCAGAACCACTAGCAGCTCTACAGGAGAAAGATGGCTAGCCTTCCAGCCTGATGTATAAGCTTGGAAACCTGGTGGAGATTTAGCTGTAAGTTAGTTCCGTCTCAATAGCAGTTCGCTCTCCTTCACCAAAATCCAGGTCGCAAAGTGCATTATTCATTGAACTGCCAATGCAGAACAGTCGTTCCAATTTACCAGCTGCCCTAAAGACGATAGAGTCTCTTCCCTTGAGGTGCAGAAAGAAGGGAGTGACTCTCTTTTTGAGATTTCTAGCCTCAGTATCCCAATGGAGAGTTTCTGTTTATCGGAATGGACTCTTGTTGCATGGGTTTATTTTTTATTTTCATTGTACCAAGCATGATGTCCTTAGTTCGGGGCTTGTCTCTCCTCATTTCATGTCCAAACTTTTGTTATCCTTGCTTTTAAGGAACAATATAGTTCCATCACTTTTAAGACAAAGTTGTAAGTTGTTCTTTCTTTTGACAGGCAATGGTTTATTTAATTTTGTTCTCTAACAATGTAACTTTCTCAAAAATTGCTGCCATCAAGTCAGTTTCTTATAACAAAGAAACTGCCCATCTTTCTCCTCTAGAGTGGCAGGTTGATTTGAACCATTGGAGATGCAATGCATTTCTAGTTCTTTTTAGTGAGATTTTAATGAAAACTTATAGAAAACATGGATTTCCATTCATTCATTGTTGCACATTTTTCTCCCTGCCCATACCTCCCCCTCAGTTTACTTTTTCTCTTGGGGAGAAAAAAAAATTCTTGTTACACCATTCTGCCTCTTCTCCCAGTCCATTTTACTGTGCAGCTCTTACTCTGGACTTGTTTTCATGCAAATAATACCTAACATATTCCTTTTAAGCCGTTTCTCCCTCTGTTTTTTTCAAACAGTGCAACATACTACAGGCTTATGAATCTTCAAATCTCCTTTTATCTACTAGAGACTAACTTGGTAGTTCAACTTTTGTGTGCTTTTAAGGCATTTGAGTGACGTCTGGTGGTTTAGTGGTTAGGAGAAGAGCTGTAAGCCCAAAGACATGTGGTTCAAATCCCCTTGCCTGCTTCACAGGAGAAAGAGGTGTAGTCCCCTCCTCTGCTGTTCACTGCCTCTAAAAACCTGATGGAGGCTCAACTGTGAGTAGTTTCTGACTTGGTGGCACATTAGAATGGGGCAATTGAAAATAGTTTTACTTGGGTAAGGGGCACCCTTGTCTTCGAAGCAACATCGTTGCTTTTTAACTCTTTTAAAGAAATCTTTTTGTAGTGGATTTCTTCACTGAGTTATTTGTCATTTGATTTCTCTTCCATAGGTATTGATTTTGGATCCAAATAAAATGAAACTTGACAATTTAATCATAATTTATCAGCATACTACTTATTGGATTAGTTGTAAGGACTTTTATGTATGTGATGGAATAGCCTATTGTGAAGGATATAGTATAGATCTTATCAGTGCCTGAAGTTCTATTCACTTTCAGCTGGAAAATATGTGTCAATTCCATATCATAGGTTATTAATAAGTCTTACTCTAATCCCGATTCCACATTCCAATTTATATAGCCTAGCTCTTTGGATGTTTTGCTCAGCATACAAATTGAATGGATATGATGAATGAATATAAACTTATGAATTGCTTTTCCTAATTTTCAACCACATGCTATTACATGTATGTGCCATTGAGGTATGACTCATAGCAACTCCATGAATAACAGATTTCATCCCTGTCCTATTATCATCTCTAACATAGTTGAGCCTGTTGATGCAGTAACTGTGCCATTCCATCTTGTCTTTTATAAGGGTCTTGTCTTTTGCTGGCTTTCTACCTTTCAAGGCATGATGTCCCTCTCTAAGAAAAGGGATTTTTAGACCCTATTTCAGTAATTTATGCTCTCAGTTTTTGGCTGCTGCTGCTTTTTTTTTTTTTTTTTTTTTTTTTTTTTTTTTTTTTTTTTTTTGTTTCTTTCTGGTCTTCGTTTTCTATCAGCTGTTACTTTTCTAAAATAACATAGGGGAAATGGCTAATGCAGGTGCCTTTGGGCTATGTGTTTTATGTTTTAATCTGTAATCGATTTAACTGCTCTCTAGCTGGTCTTTTCTTAACTGTGCTTATGATTAGTCAATGCTATGAGTTCTGAGTTCATTATAAATATAGAACTAAATGCTTTTACTTTTTAAAAATTTAGTTCTTAATATTCTGTGCTACTGTTTTTATGTGCTATCAAGTGGAGTAAGACTTAGAGATCCTGCAAATAGTAGATCTGAACCATGTCCTATCCTGCACCATCCCCAACATATCCAAAACACTTGAGCCAATTGCTACAGTCACTGTGTCATTCTGTCTTGTTGAGTCTTTCTCTCCTTTGCTGAACCTCTACCTTTCTATGCATGTTATAGCCTTCCAAGGAATAACCTGGCCTAATAACATGCTCAGAGCCATCTTTGCCTGTAAGGAGCACTCGGGCCACACTTTCTCCAAGACATATCTGTTTGTTTCTCAGTCAGTGGGATATTCTGAACTCTTCTCCAATACCACAAATCAAAGCATTGATTCTTCTTCTGTCAGCTTTCTTTATTATCCAGCTCTCAGATAGATACCGGGTGATTAGAGATGCTATTCCTTGACTAAGGTACACCTTGCTCTTTAAATTGATATCATTGCTTTACAGGATTTTAGAGAGGTCTTTAACACGAGAATTTCCTAAAGCTTGACATCTCCTGGTTTCCTGACTGCCGTCCTCAACACCAGGGTGTTGATTATGGATCCACGGAAGAGGAATTTCACTATTTTTTCTATTTATCATGTTGCCTATTGGCCCATTGGGGATGACTTTTGTTTTTTTGATGTTGAGAGGTAATCCATTTGAAGGCTCTAGTCCTTGATCTTCTGTTGCATGGGCCTCTAGTTGTCCTCGCTTACAGCCAGGTTGTGTCATCTGCATAGCTCAGGTTATTGATAAGTCTTCGCCCAATCCTCATGTCTTCTTTGCCCAGCATACAGATTGAGTAGGCATGGAGAAAGGTTACCTTCCTGACACACACCTTTCTTAATTGTAAATCATGCAGTGTTTCCTTGCTGTATTCAGAGAGTTGCTTTTTAATCTAAATAGAAGTTTTGTCTGAGCATAGTTAAGTATTCTGGAATTCTCATTTTTCTCAGTGTTAATCATAGTGTGTTATGGTCCTCACAGTCAAATAAATGCCTTTGCATAGTCAATAAAACATTGCTAGACATTCTTCTGAAATTCTTTGCTTTTAGTCAATATCCATCTGATATCAGCAATGATATCCTTAGTGCCATTGCCTCTTCTTTTTTTTTTTAGTGTAATACTTTTCTTTATTCTTTTTTTTAAATTGTTATTAAATTTTATTAGTTTT